TGCATTCAGACACTTTCCCCAGCAAGTGGCTACAGGACATGATTGATATGCCAATATGATTAATTAATATGACATATGCACAGGCATCACTTACAACAGATGCATGGAAGATTAAACCAAAATGTAAACTGTTTTTTCTCTCTTACTCTCACCTACAGTTTACATGCTCCAACTTCAGCAAATACCAAAAAAACCAAGTATTATGCAAATAGGGCCAACTGTACGTGGGAATTATCCAAAATGGGCCTGGAAGATTCCTGCCCCCCCCCCCCCCCCAAAAAAAAAAAAAAAAATATAAAGCAGGTGTTCTTACCTCATTTTAAAGCAAATTCTGKTTTGACTGTACCTGTGTCTACCTGAACAATGTAACTGACTTCTGGGAAATCAGTTTGGGTTTACTTAGTGCTGACAGAGACTCATTACACACCTCAATTTYCTACATATATGCTGTACCTGTATTTGTAAAGACAAGCTAATATTTATTGAACAACAGTGTGATTCCAATCCTCTTGGTCTTTAAAGCAACAATCTGACACCACATCTTTTCCCTTGCTAAATGGCAACTRTTAAATGCAATCTGGCTCAGCACATACCAGCGAGCTGCCATTAAAAGTGTKCTTCTTCTATTTAATTAATTTTAATGCTATTAAAGCTAAATCACTTCAGATTTAACTTTATTAAAGCTCAAGATTTATTAAAGCTAAAAGAACAAACCTTTCTAGWCCCCTAACATGCCTTTAGGATTACCAATAGATTTCTCTGGGAGAAAACTTTTAGCACAACTTTTAATCATTCGCCCAATCCTTTTTCCTTTGTTTTCCCCCAACCTCCCCCCACTCAGCAATGCTGTGATGTCACACAGCTTTGTGCCTAATTRTTAAAGCTTTGTGGTTAAAATAATTTTGGGAATATCAACTTCCCTGGCGATCTGAACAGTTAAACTGATTCATTTGCAAACCCCTTTCTGGTTTGCATCCCAAACCCCTGTGCCCAGATGAAAGGCTGTACATAACTCATGTTTATGAAGATGCAGCGTGAACACAACTGAGCTTTCACTGACTCCCACAGTGACCTAAATCAACTGTGAGAAGGTGTTTCTGTTTCATTCAGCCAAGGTTTAGCTCATTAAACTGTTTTCCTTCTCAGCATTGTTCAGTGGGTTTGAACTGCCTTGCTGTTAAATGCTCTTTAGCAGTTTAAAGGCTTTAAAGGAAAAGACTTATCAGTCTCTGTTTTTAACAGCACTAAATCTGCATTATTAGTTCATGCAGATAAGGGGATTTGAAAGCTCAGCTTGAAACCTCTGTCTTCTGTATTTATCTGACACTGCATAGTTCCAGTAGCTCAGCTGGAAAYGTGGATCTATGAAGCTTTAAAGAGAGATTAAAGGCAAGAAAAGAAGTACTTTTCCCCCTACAGCCGCTCTCACTTTCCCTTTTCCTGCTGTCTGAGGGAGTGCTGGGGGACAATGGCCAAAGATGGTTCCCAAAGCCCCTGAATGGGGACACTGTTGGTGGCAGCATTCATTCAAAGTAAGCTTCAGTGTATTGTCCTCCCCAATCAGCAGATCAGAATAGAGTGTGCTGGTGGCTGCCAAAAGGTTAGTCCCGGCGATGAAAGGGGCTTCCCATTATTCACTGGCTCCAGAACTGCCCCTTTGTGCCCCCAGCCCATCAGTGCTCGGTGGAGGTCCGGATCTGCGGCTGGCTGCTCGCTCCAAATGAACAATTCATCCCCAGCCAGCCTGCTGTGGCACTGGCAGCCCAAAATCCAAGCGCTCCTTTTCTAAGGACAGGGGACTCGGGGCAGGTTTTGGCAGTGTCACATTTTAATGATATACCMTCGTGACATCCCTGACCCACGGCTGACACTAATACTACACTCTCATTACCTTAGCCCTGCCAGGGCATCGTGGGAGGTCCAGAGCCAAAATCAGCTAATGAAGCACACTATGCTGCAAACAAGTGTGCAATAAATAATGCAAAGGGTTTGCACAGGTTTCCCTCATGCAAAGCGTAACAAAAGTAGAGGAGACCAGTGGAGCCAAGAAAAAATGGAATAAAAATCCCATAGTGCTCTATGCAGCAGAACTSCAGAATATGCACCTCCGACTGCACCAAGTGCAGATCCTCATCTCCCTGTGTCCCTGTCCTGTCAATCAGGGATTTTTTATGTATTTTTATACATGCTACCAATGCAAACCTTCCAAGTGCCTCCAGCATTTTCTGATGGTTTGAGCAGGTTTTCCAAGTGATACAAGACAAGGCATATTGGCTTTTTCCCGTTCATCCYTGGGTCATCCCAAAGGTGACAGTAAATTCCTGTTTGGAGAAATTCCTGCTCAGCCCCCTGCTGGGGGAGAGGCACTCTCTGCCATCCCACCAATCTGCCCTTACAGGAGACAAAACTCACAGAGAAAAAGGAAAGAGAGAACGGATTGAAAGGCATTTACACTCCACTGCACATTTCAGAACCTTTTCCAGTGAAAAGATACATGGGGAAAATGGCAATGAGCTATTTTCCAACACATAAACTGCTTTGTTCAGGAGTGTCTGTAACCTCCAGACTGCTGCCAGAGGCAG